CCCGTTATCCTGGGTGTTCAAAGCACCTCACGCAAGGTATTCCTCATGGAAGGAACACACTGCTCAGTCCAGTTCATTCTAGGTGAGTGGAGGTCAATTCGGAGGGCTTCTAGCATTTCTCCCCTTTTACCGAGATCCAGGGTCCATGTCAAACTTAGTACCACCCAGAACCAGCAGCAAAGGGCTGAGCACAAACTAAGCATGAATAAATACTTACTTAAGTGAGTCTGACACATTTCACTACCTTCATAATAAGCCAGTTAGGTCTCATTTCAATAACCACAGACAAATATTTTTAGATTTCCAAATATACTTCCTCAGCCAAACAGTATACACGATACTGGTCCCTCTAGGAGACTGACATCCAAGCTGATAAACCATCCCACGCCGGAGGGCTACGGGATATAAACTCCTCTACCCTTTGATCTGTGTTAATGTCTAATGTCATTTTCATCTCAGCGCCAGGGAAGGGGTTCAGCACCAGTTTACTTGGCATCTACTTGCTTTCTGACTGTGTGGTTTTCAGTTTCTTTGTTTTCTTTTTCTTTTTATCATCTACTGACTGCACAGATGTCAGCTGAGGGCTGGTCAAAGGACTTGATGCCTCAGTAGAAGATGATTGTCAAAGATGTCACTCCAGTAATCTGTCATGTTGAAACCTCCACCTGTCCTTACTCAAAACTTACCAATATCTGTCTTTTAGGAACTTCCTGAATCAATTAATATTTTCAGTCCACCTGAATCTCCATTTTATGGAATCTCCCTAGATTACTTTCTCAACCCAAATGGCAGTCTCTTTATTCCAGCTCAATGCACACTTATAACATCTATTCCAACAGAATGGAGGTGCTCGGCATTTTGGAAAAGACAATTACTTGCTTATTGGTTCCTGCCACCTGTGGTTTGCTGGTGCCATCCAGGTTTTAAAAGCAAGATAAAAATGAGGCAATAAAGTCAGAACGCGTTTCCTGGATTCTCTCTTATAGCTTTTATACATCAGTACGTATTTAAGAGCTTTCGGGCTTTGTCTTTTTGTCTCTGGCGATTTGTGCTTGCCCTTTTGTTTTTCTCATTCACATCTCCGCGGGGGGCGGGGGGGGGGGGGGGAGGGTAAGCAGGAAGGGAAGAAGATAAAATTCAAATGAGATCATTTGGCCAGTCACTGATTGGCTAAAGCAGAGTCCCCAGACGCCAGTATGCGAGTTGGATTCTCTCCACCGTCCAGTTTACCCGGGACAGATGCAAGTCCGCTCCAACGCAGCACACTGTGACCCCATTTCCTGCCAGATGTTTTGCACTAGTGGCCCAGTCATGAGAGGGGACCAGGGCAGTGACTAGAAACGGCTCAGAAAACTCCTGCCTTCTCAAGAAAAACAAGGGGATGTACAGATCAGTCTTACCCCTTCGGTTGTTGAGCTTTTCACTTGTTAAATTCTTGGACTAAAGGTCTGCTAGGAAACAGGGCTCTAACTACTGATGAAAACAGGTTTTGAGTGGGCACCTGGGTGGCTCAGTCAGTTAAGCTTCTGCCTTCGGCTCAAGGAAAAGGATAGAGCCCAACTTGGGGTTCCCTGCTTAGCGGGGAGCCAGCTTCTCCCTCTGTCCCTTCCCCCTGCTCCTGCCCACACAGGCACACAGGTGCGCTCTTCCTCTCAAATAAAATCTTTAAAAAATATTTTATTTATTTACTTGACACAGAAACACAGCAAGAGAGGGAACACAAGCAAGGGGAGTGGGAGAGAGAGAGAAGCAGGCTTCCTGCTGAGCATGGAGCCTGATGTGGGGTTCAATTCCAGGACCTGATCCCAGGACCCTGGCATCATGACCTGAGCTGAAGGCAGATGCTTCACCACTGAGCCACCCAGGCGCCCCCCAAAATCTTAAAAAACAGGTTTTGAAGGGAGGAGGATGAGGGGATGGGCAAAATGGATGAAGGGAAGCGGGAGGTACAGGCTTCCAGTTACAGAAGGACTAAGTCACAGGGATGAAATGCACAGCATTCACAATCAAGCAATCAATCAATCAAAAATTTGGGGGGGGAGGCACAGCATGGGGAATACAGGCCTTGATATCAGAATAGTGTTGGATGGTGACAGCTGGGAGCACCAGGTGTGGTGAGCACTGTAAGGACCTATTTAGCTAGAGGCTTCCATCAAGGTTAAAACAATAATGTGTTTAACCCTTAAACTGTCCCTGCTTCCCTTCCCCCAGGTGCTTTACTTAAAAACAAGTCCCAGAAACCAGCTCCAGGTAATAAAGCCCAGATATAAGGGTGGGTCAGGCCAGGTGGAGACATTGATCAGTGGGGGGTTGCATACTGTCTCCCTAGCTACCAAGGAGTATGGGCCCCCCGCCCTTTGGGAGCCTTTTTGGTGCCAATCCTAACCAAGGTGTGATAGGCTATTTCAAATGTCCACTAGGGTAAATTATAATTCAGTCGGTCACCTAGCATCACTGTGGAGTTTCCTGTGTGTGTTATAATTTCATTGGCCACCTGTGCGTGGCCAGGCCTGACCGCAAGGCCTTTGACCTTAAAAGCTAGTCTGTGAAACAGAGAAGGGTCGCCCTCTCTTGTAAGAGGTGGGTCCCCGAACGTTCAGTTTGATTCTTGATGTTTGGCGTGAAATAAAGCTTTGCTTGACCTTCGCTTTGTATCAGTCTCGCTCCTTTAATCACGGACCCAGTTTGGAGGGCATAACAAGCACAGCATCACCTACAGACCTGTTGAATCGCTATGTGGTACCCTTGAAACTAATGTCACGTGAGCGTCAACCATACTCCGAATAAAAAAAACAGGTTTTGAAGATTATTTGTTAACCTTTTTCTCCGCGTCATCCTCCACACCACCATTTAAACCAAAATCAAATAGGTGCTTCTGTAGCGTTCCAGAAGCTAAGAAAGTTTTCTATCTCTGTAGATGGCTGAAATGTATCAAAATAATAGCATTTTGTGACACATGAAAAAGACACGCAATTCAAGCTTCAGTGGCCACCACAAGGGCTTCCAGATTACTGGATTACTGCAGCTGCTTTTGTGAGGGGAGGGCTGGAAAGAGTCCTTGACAACTGAAACTGTCTGGTCCACAAAGACGAAAGTATTTATTATCTTGGCCTTTATAACAAGTTTGCTACCCCTGCCTTTTCTCATTCTACACAAACATTTCTGCTCTCCTTACCACCTCGGAATTCACATGCTCTCTTTGTTACTTTTCATTTGTGTAGGTTATTTTGTTTCTCTTGAAATCCTAAATTAATGGGCGCTACTGCCACAAAACCAGTCTGGACTCTCCACATGTATCAAGTACGTTGTGACACTCAAGATTTTCAAAAGCTCTTAAAACAGTTGATGCTTCGCCTCTTTCAGATGGTTAATAGAGTTTAATTGTGATACTTGTGATATTACTACTAATTTTTCTCATGTTTTTTTCAAATGCTGAAAGAAATGAATTTTGCTTCTGACCCGTAATTGAAATGCTATTCAGTGAAAGAGGAACTAAGGCCATTTTTACTGTATAAAATCAAAATACATGGATTTGTATTACCACTATTTTCCAGGAGAGTAATTTGAGGCAACTGAACTCTTTCAGAGATTATGAAGAATGGTTTAAGTGGCTCTGGGGGTCGCCTTCAAGTTCGGAGCAGATGTTATCAATAAGGCAGCGGTCGGGGCTGTATCACCCCAGGAGGTGGCCATATAGGGGCCTTGTGAGGTTGAGTGGCACACATCACTGTCATGAGGGGCAGGGCGGGGGAGGCTAATTCTCTTAGTTCCAGTTTTCCCAGCTGCACTGTCTGGGATGCATATTTAAGGGGCAAAGAATTTACCCAAATTTGGACACAGGCAACAACAGTCCAGGAACTGAGAGAGTTAGGTCAGGGAAAAAGGACAAAGAAGAGTGTGCTCTCAAGCCTGTGCCCATTGTGGGTGGCTGGGACATAAGCCCATGGGGAAAGACTTGGAAAGGCCTCACAACACACAGCCCTCCGTTATCCCACCTGAGGGATGAGGTAGCTTCTGGAAATGTCAGTTCCCCAGCACCTCTATCCTGCCCTGTTTGGGGCAAAGAGAGCAGCTTTCCCCATTTCAGAGACAGCTTCAGGCCATGAGACACAGATACTCCCGGTGAGTTGGGAGTTGTCAGTGGGCATGTGGAGATGAGCATCGGGGGTGTGGGGAGGGCACCTAGAGCATCTGCGACAGCAGTGTTCCGTCGGCCCACAGAGAGAAGTGCCTGACCCCTGTGCCGCTTCCAGGATGACAGGGCGGGTGGGGATAGATGCAGCAGAAGCCAGCCTACAGGCTGGACTGGGAAAGACAAGTTCAATGGTGGAGCTGCCGAGTTGTCACTGTACAAAGATTATGGAGAGCAGCATGGGAAACAGGATTGGGGAGTCCTTGGTTCTGGTCCCGGGTCCACCAAGGCATAATCGTGGCAAGTTATATAACTTCCGTTAGACTTCACTTTTGTCATCTATAAAATGACAGTTGGTTGAGTCTTGAAATGGACCTCCTAGACTAGCCTCAGCAAGAGACGCGTATACAACCCTTAAAATAAGAAAAGACCAACTTCAAGATTTCTCAGCGGCACCTGGGACTGCAAATTCACCTCCGTCCGCCTCCCAGGAGACAGATTCCTGCTCCCCTTAGCCCGTTAGAGCCCCATCCATTAGAGCCCCATCCATCGATCAGCACAGAGATCGCCAACCTCTTAACAAGGATGTCAACCCACAAGATCATGCCTGGACCTCGCATCCACACACAGGCCACAGTAAAATGGTGGCTGTTGTGCGTTCATATTCCCCTCCCTCCCTGAACATGCTGGAAGCTGAGACGTGCCCTGTCCTGGGCTTGCCGGGACGTACTAGGATGTAGAAAGGGCTGGTGCTGGACAAGAAGGCAGCACAATACTGGATGACATGAGAGGTTTCATCTTGCTTTCTCCCCCTTCAGTCCTTCAAATTACAGTGCAGTTGAATCCAAACAACATCGTCATCACTTACCAATATGCACATTTCCAGATATGGTGTAAATGAAGTTTGTCCATCCTGAAAAAGAACCAGCAATGTTAAAAGGTTAGCGTCCATAATGCCAAAAGGAACAAAGATATAAGAATATATTCAACCAATCTCTAGGAAATATAAAAACATCTAACAGATATGAAAGATAAATTGAGATGAAATCCTTTATTTTCTCGTAGATGCACAGTTAAAATTTAAACTTCTGTGAGCTGTTAAAAACACACGCTCCCACATGCGTGCATGCATGGACGCACGTATACATGTACCCCTAACCCTAAAGGATTTGGCCCACCATGTTTTATATCCACCCAAGTAGGCAGTATACAGCTACTGCAACTACACAGCCATATGGCAACAGCTGTATTAACTGTCCCCTCCAGTTTTAACGTCACACTGATAACCACAACACCCCAGTCTCGCTTATCTTTAGTTCATTGTATATCCAGGTAGTTTCAAGTGGGAAGAAAATTCTAGAAACACACTTTACTTAGTTGTACTTGAGTCTCTAGTGAACTCATTCCTCTTCATCTATCCTAAAATGGAGGATCAGTTCCAGGGATTTGGGGATGCACAATCTTTGCGGTACATGTGGGGTTCAGATGGTCTGTGCACTTGCTGGAACTACATACCCAATTTTTCAAGTGTGTGTGCTTTTCTGTGATGTTATACAGCATTCAGCAGACTCCCACTGTGACCCATGGGGCCAAGAGCTCATAACCACAGACAACCTGCCTCTTGCTCTCCCAGTGCCAGGCAGCACTGGGTTTCCATGGGTCTTTGTACCCATGACCCAGAAGGGATGCTGCAGGGCCACCAGGAGACATGAATCCAGGAATGGCAAACTCAAAGCAGAAGCATCTGTGTGCCTTCAGTGGAAAAGGAGAAGATGTGGGATGGTAGAGTTCAAGGTGGAAGGGCAGGGCCCAGACTGAAGCCCGTGTGAGTCACCGTGGTGACACAGGGAACAAAGCAAAGGCAGGTGTGGAAGTATCACGGAGGACAACATATACTCTAGGGTTGCGGGTGTGAGGCCAGGTGGGTTGAAACACACACAAGTGAAGGTGTAACTGATAACACTTGACATCTACCCAGTCTGGTTAAGAAAATCCAACGGATGGCAAAACAAACCAAGACACTTAGGTGGACGCCAGAGGAGGTCTTTTCACCCTCCCACTGCCCAGTTTTTCCTCTCTGAGATTTCACCAGCCTCAGCTGAAGGCCTCTGGAAGTAATTTGACTTGCTGATGGCTCACTCCCCCTTGTTCTCCCTACGTCTGGACCCATATGCTCAGTCTCCATGCACGTAGCCAACAACACTCACTCCCGCACATGCGCTGTGGGCAGAGTCACTGGGATGAAGAAGGCCCAGCTGGAATGTGTGAGTTGTGCAATTTGGTTCAGGGAGGTTCATAATGCAGAAAGCCCAGGCCAGTGATCCACAGCCCACTTCCACGTGTGTTATCGGGCCAGCTGGGCTCTACTACAGAACAGCCCTCTCTGCTTTCTCATGGCGGCTCAAACGCTCCAGTCCTACTGGACCTGATGTGAACCATAATTCTGCAGCAAAACCTCTTTCCTCGCTGACTTTTTATTTAAAAAAAAACATCCACCACTGAACATTGTTTACATTGATTTTTCAAAGTGCAAACATCTTTGCTGTGTTTCTCTGATTAAAAAAAAACCCTCAGGAGTCAAGATGGCGGAGAAGTAGCAGCTGAGACTACTTCAGGTAGCGGGAGATCAGCTAGATAGCTTATCTAAAGATTGCAAACACCTACAAATCCAACGGGAGATCGAAGAGAAGAAGAACAGAAATTCTAGAAACAGAAAATCAACCACTTTCTGAAAGGCAGGACTGGCGGAGAAGTGAATCCAAAGCGACGGGAAGACAGACCGCGGGGGGAGGGGCCGGCTCCCGGCAAGCGGCGGAGCCACGGAGCACAAAATCGGGACTTTTAAAAGTCTGTTCCGCTGAGGGACATCGCTCCAGAGGCTTAACCGGGGTGAAGCCCACGCGGGGCCAGTGTGGCCTCAGGTCCCGCAGGGTCACAGAAGGATCGGGGGTGTCTGAGTGTCGCAGAGCTCACAGGTATTAGAACGGGGAAGCCGGCTACAGAGACGGAGCCGAGGAGTGACTCTCAGCTCGGGGTTACCTTGGACCGGTCGCAGGCTCGGTGAGCTCGGAGCGCGGCCGGAGGCCAGGGTGACGGGAGCAATTGGGCGCTGTTCTCTGAGGGCGCACTGAGGAGTGGGGCCCCGGGCTCTCGGCTCCTCCAGGCCGGAGACTGGGAGGCCGCCATCTTCCTTCCCGTCCTCCGGACTCTACGGAAAGCGCTCAGGGAACAAAAGCTCCCGAAAGCGAACCCGAGCGGATTACTCAGCCCGGCCCCTGGTAAAGGCGGTGTGACTCCGCCTGGGGCAAAGACGCTTGAGAATCACTACAACAGGCCCCTCCCCCAGAAGATCAACAAGAAACCCAGCCGGGACCAAGTTCACCTACCAAGGAGTGCAGTTTCAATACCAAGGAGAGCAGCGGAATTCCAGAGGAGGAGAAAGCAAAGCACGGAACTCGTGGCTTTCTCCCCATGATTCTTTAGCCTTGCAGTTAATTTAATTTTTTTTTTCTTTTTCAATTTTCTTTTTCTTCTGCTAATTTTTTTTAACTTTTACCCTTTTCTTTTTTAATGTTTTTTAACTAGTTTATCTAATATATATATATATATGTATTTTCTTTTATATATTTTTTCTTTATTCATTCTCTTTTTTTAATTGTTTTTTTTTTCTGAACCTCTTTTTATCCCCTTTCTCCCCCCCACGATTTGGGATCTCTTCTGATTTGGTTAAAGCATATATTCCTGGGGTCTTTGCCACCCTTTTAGTATTTTACTTGCTCCTTCATATAATCTTATCTGGACAAAATGACAAGACGGAAATATTCACCACAAAAAAAAAAAAAAAAGAACAAGAGGCAGTACCAAAGGCTAGGGACCTAATCAATACAGACATTGGTAATATGTCAGATCTAGAGTTCAGAATGACGATTCTCAAGGTTCTAGCCGGGCTCAAAAAAGGCATGGAAGATATTAGAGAAACCATCTTGGGAGATATAAAAGCCCTTTCTGGAGAAATAAAAGAACTAAAATCTAACCAAATTGAAATCAAAAAAGCTATTAATGAGGTGCAATCAAAAATGGAGCTTCTCACTGCTAGGATAAATGAGGCAGAAGAAAGAATTAGCGATATAGAAGACAAAATGACAGAGAATAAAGAAGCTGAGCAAAAGAGGGACAAACAGCTACTGCTCCACGAGGGCAGAATTCGAGAGATAAGTGACACCATAAGACGAAACAACATTAGAATAATTGGGATTCCAGAAGAAGAAGAAAGAGAGAGGGGAGCAGAAGGTATATTGGAGAAAATTATTGGAGAGAATTTCCCCAATATGGCAAAGGGAACAAGCATCAAAATCCAGGAGGTGCAGAGAACCCCCCTCAAAATCAACAAGAATAGGTCCACACCCCGTCACCTAATAGTAAAATTTACAAGTCTTAGTGACAAAGAGAAAATCCTGAAAGCAGCCCGGGAAAAGAAGTCTGTAACATACAATGGTAAAAATATTAGATTCGCAGCAGACTTATCCACAGACACCTGGCAGGCCAGATAGAGCTGGCATAATATATTCAGAGTACTAAACGAGAAAAACATGCAGCCAAGAATACTATATCCAGCTAGGCTATCATTGGAAATAGAAGGAGAGATTAAAAGCTTCCAGGACAAACAAAAAACTGAAAGAATTTGCAAACACCAAGCCAGCTCTACAGGAAATATTGAAAGGGGTCCTCTAAGCAAAGAGAGAACCTAAAAGTAGTAGATCAGAAAGGAACAGAAACAATATACAATAGCAGTCACCTTACAGGCAATACAATGGCACTAAATTCATATCTCTCAATAGTTACCCTGAATGTTAATGGGCTAAATGCCCCAATCAAAAGACACAGGGTATCAGAATGGATAAAAAAACAAAACCCATCTATATGTTGCCTACAAGAAACTCATTTTAAACCCGAAGACACTTTCAGATTTAAAGTGAGGGGGTGGAAAAGAATTTACCATGCTAATGGACATCAGAAGAAAGCAGGAGTGGCAATCCTTATATCAGATCACTTAGATTTTAAACCAAAGACTATAATAAGAGATGAAGATGGACACTATATCATACTCAAAGGATCTGTCCAACAAGAAGATCTAACAATTGTAAATATCTATGCCCCTAACGTGGGAGCAGCCAACTATATAAACCAATTAATAACAAAATCAAAGAAACACATCGACAATCATACAATAATAGTAGGGGACTTTAACACTCCCCTCACTGAAATGGACAGATCATCCAAGCAAAAGATCAACAAGGAAATAAAGGCCTTAAATGACACACTGGACCAGATGGACATCACAGATATATTCAGAACATTTCATCCCAAAGCAACAGAATACACATTCTTCTCTAGTGCACATGGAACATTCTCCAGAATAGATCACATCCTTGGTTCTAAATCAGGTCTTAACTGTTATCAAAAAATTGGGATCATTCCCTGCATATTTTCAGACCACAATGCTCTGAAGCTAGAACTCAATCGCAAGAGGAAATTTGGAAAGAACCCAAATATATGGCGACTAAACAGCATCCTTCTAAAGAATGAATGGGTCAACCAGGAAATTAAAGAAGAATTGAAAAAATTCATGGAAACAAATGATAATGAAAACACAACGGTTCAAAATCTGTGGGACACAACAAAGGCAGTCCTGAGAGGAAAATATATAGCGGTACAAGCCTTTCTCAAGAAACAAGAAAGGTCTCAGGTACACAACCTAACCCTACACCTAAAGGAGCTGGAGAAAGAACAAGAAAGAAACCCTAAACCCAGCAGGAGAAGAGAAATCATAAAGATCAGAGCAGAAATCAATGAAATAGAAACCAAAAAAACAATAGAACAAATCAACGAAACTAGGAGCTGGTTCTTTGAAAG